TATGGATGTAAGCGCTCCTTCAGGTAACCAGGACCCAAGCTGTTTAGGGCTTTATAGGTCATCACCAACACCTTGAATTGGGCCTGGACTTCAATGGGAAGCCAGTGAAGCTGACGGAGAACTGGAGTCATGTGAACACAATGCCCAGTCCCCGTCAGCAGCCTGGCAGCTCTGTTTTGAACCAATTGAAGTATCCGGACCGTCTTCAAGGGTAGCCCCACGTAGAGCGCGTTACAGAAGTCGAGACGGGAAGTCACCAATGCATGTGTCACTGTCGCGAGGCAGTCGTACTCCAGATAGGGGCGCAGCTGGTGGATCAGCCGAAGCTGAAGGAAGGCGCTCCTCGCCACCGCTGTCACCTGAGCTTCTAGTGAAAGCTCCAGATCGAGGAGCACTTCCAAGCTGCTCCTTTATGTCACCTTTTAGATTTTCCTTATGTATAATTAAGTTCAACATTCTTCTAGTCAAATCTGTCATCCGTTTCCTTATAATAAAACCACTATGATTCACATCAACATATTTATATGTTATGCTATTCATCCTCTTTGCAAATATTGTAAAAATACTTGCATCCTGGTTTGTGAAGGATTTAGGTCTATAGGCTGCAGGTTCTTTAAAAAAATCAGTGTTTTTGCTGCAAAATATTTTTAGAAAGCATGTTGAGGAGACTCTGTCGACTGTGAGGGCCAGCTATCATGTTGTTAAATGTATTGCTGAGAGTGGTAGACCATCCACTGATGGTGAATTTGTTAAGGAGTGCATGATTAAAGTAATGGAGGAAATGTGCCCTGATAAGGTATCTTGTGTTATGTCAGTTTATCTGCCTCTAAAATCACTAGGCTCTTCTCAACTATGAGAAGAGCCCTGTATGTCACTGACTGTCAAGGCAAAACGCTTTCACTTTTTTGCATTTGGCATTAGATGAGAGCAATTACATTATAGATACCACTCAGCTTCTAATATTTATCAGGGGAATTGATTCTAGCTTCAGAATTACAAAGAATTGTGTGCACTGCACAGTTTGACAGGCACGTGGAAAGCGTACTCTTGAAGGTGTGTGAATCATTTAAAAATTGTGCTCTGAGTTGGGATAAATTGAAAAGCATCACAACTGGTGGTGCAAGAGATATGGTGGGAAATAAAGCTGGTGTAGTTGCAAGAATCAATGAAAAGATATTAAAATTAAACAGTATACTTTCCATACAATTTCACTGCATCATCTTCAGCAAGCCTTGGGCAGTAAGATCCTTCAGTGAGAAAGTGTGACGCATATTGTATCCCATATTAATTGCATCAGGCATCATGGCCTTATTCATCATCCGTTTCAAAATGATCTCTCAAAGATAGATGCAGAATATGGAGATTTATTGCACTATGCTGAAGTCAGTGTCTCAGCAGAGGCAAAATCCTCAAATGCTTTTCAGTCTTTTTTATGAAGTTGATGTCTATCTCAAGGAAAAAGGAAAAGTTCAAGATGTTCAATCTGATCCTGAATAGATTTTTGATTTTGCATTCTTAGCTAATATTACAGAGCATCTAAACACATTGAATTGCAGGGAAAAGGAGAGCTTGTGTGTGACACGTATTCTGAAATGAAAGCTTCTGAATCAAAACTTTTTTTTATGAAACAAGTTAGTGAAAGTAACTTTTCAAACTTCTCATGCTGCAATGAACTAACATTTGAGAAGGAAGGGAATTTACAATTCAATGTTGAAAGACACTTCAAAGCACTTGAGCCTGTTGCAGGTGGAATTCCAGAACAGATTCACTGACTGCCATAAGCATGGATAGGAGATAAGAATACTTCATTAGTAGTAGCACCAGAAGATGCAAGTAAGTTTTTCAGATGGAACTAATTGATTTGCAAACCAGGGATAATCTCAGAGACGTTTACAAAGAACATAGTCTGTTAGATTTCTACTGTGGTCTACCTGACCTCCTGTGGTCTATATTTATCAACCTAATTTTTTTTACTACAGGTGTGTTCACAGTCTTTGGTACCCCATACATCTGTGAACAAACTTTTTCCAAGATCAAAATTGTGACATCCAAATGTAGGTCAAGACTTACAGATGCACATTTACATGGCATTTTAAGGGTGTCTGTCACAAAACTTGCCTTGGACATTAATAGTTTGGCTAACAGAAAACAGTCACAAAAGTCACGCTGACTATGTAAGCCTGTTTGGCTAGATAAAAGGATTATACAGTAAAAAATTGTTCCAGAATGGATTCCATTCAAGTTGACAATTCTTCATTGACCACTGGATGTTTACTTTGGATCTAAATTGCTGGTTAATAATTTCATTAAATTTTGATTTAAGATGTGGCCATCTTTAGGCACTGGGCACTCTGATGTGGTCCCATGTTCCAGAAGGTTGGGTAGCACTGCTTTAAGCTCATTAACCCCATACTTTTTTGATCACATTTTCAACACAAGAAAACTGCATTTTATTTATTTGCGTATGCCCCAATAATGGTAAGTGAGAAGTGCATGGATACTGTAACATTTCCTTATCAGTAGAAGGGGCTGTAATGTAAATTGCCCTCAAAAAGAGAGGAAATGAAAGAACTGAAAGAAGCTTGGGTTCAGTGAGCATATGCAGAACCTGGTTTCCTACCCCAGCCTATGTTGTATGTATCCGTACATTACTGTCATGACATCACACCTCCCTCCATCCTGTCTGCAACCTCATTCCTGAGCTATTCATTCATTCATTACATTTTGATATTGTCCAGTAGCTGAAATGTGCTAAGGCTTGCAAGTCCAGGTGGGTGGATATCTTTGGGAAGAAACTGAAGGGGAGGAGTGAAATGTTTTAGAAGTATACATATGAATCAGTGCTGCTGCACATGATTTATACAACCAGTCCTCTAGTTACAAATGTCCAAGTTTAGAACAACTCCTACTTGCAAATAAGCAAACCTGGAAGTCCTTCCTCATCCCTGAGCAATAAGCAGCTATCTCCAGGCAGCAAGAAGTAAGCCATGAGCAGACACCATTGTGGGCAGCAGGCAGCATGCACCAGGTGATGAGGGGAGGTGAGTGGCACCAGCGAACAGAGAGGTCTGGACTAGAGAGCAACTCCAGTGGTTACCTCCTCCAGCCCTCCAGCAGCACAATCAAACCCTGACTCTCCAGCACCAATCCCATCTCCATCATTGTCCGCTTAATGTTAGAATAGGAAACTATTTATTTGGTCAACTATCCAAAACATATTGCCAACAAAGGCCATTTAATGAAGCAAATTAATTCAGTTTATATGATGTAAGAAACTACTGGTAGATTTTT